GGGCAGCGCCATCTGAGCCAGGAGTCTGGGATGATGCGGGACTTCCCGAATGCTGTGCAAATGAGTACGATTGATCTTGACGCAGAAGTTTAGAATTCCATGAATGCGAGATGAAACGCTGACAGCCACTTGAAATATGAGGAAAGCAGCATCAAAGAAGTCCAGAAGCTTTACACTCATCTCAAAGAGGGGAAACATGGCAAAGGGAGTCATCATAGAATCAATTAGGTTCTGAGATCATTGACTCCAACCTATGACCAAACACCACCCTGTCAATTAGACCATGGCAATAAGTGCCCTGTGCAGTCTTTCCTTCAACATCTCCAGCGACGGTGACTCCACAACCTCCTTGGGCAGCCCATTCCAATATCTAGTCACCCTTTCTGTGAAAAAATTCCTTCTAATGTCCAACCTAAACCTCCCCTGGCACAGCATAAGACTGTCTCCTCTCATTCTGTCACTGGTTGCCTGCGAGAAGAGACTGACGCCCACCTGGCTACAACCTCCTTTCAGGTAGTTGTAGAGAGTGATAAGGTCTCCCCTGAGCTCCTCCAGGTTAAAGAACCCCAGCTCCCTCAGCTGCTCCTCATAGGACTTGTGCTCCAGACCCTTCACCAGATTCGTTGCCTGGCTCTGAACATGCTCTAGCACCTCAATGTCTTTCTTGAATTGAGGGGCCCAGAATTGGACACAGAGCTTGAGGTGTGGCCTCACCAGTGCTGCATACAGGGGAAGGATCACTTCTTCCTGTCATGAGTGAAGGATTTATGTGGTTGCTAATTATGAGGTAGTGAAATATGTGGATTTTGTAACCATGCATATAAAACAAGGGCATATAAACAGGAGGAAGTAAATCCTCTGGTTCAATGAATATAACTAGAGTTCTTGTTCTGAGAACTCCATAAATGCTACCAGCACCCAGAAATCTGTCAGAATACTTTGCATTCGGACATGAAAACCATTCATTAGAGAAAACTGAAAAGGCTGTGTGGAAGGGCTAAGCAAAGACACAATGAATTCCCTGAACAGAAATGGAAGAAAGAAATACTTTCATTGTTATGATGGTCTTGTTAAAGAACCTGAAACATGCTGATTAAAAAGATCAACAAGACCTAATAAATTCCTGAGTGAAAAACAGAAGGACCTTTAATCTCCACATAGTCTCATAACCTGTCAAATGCAAAACAAAAATATCTGTGATTACATGAAATGACACTGTCATTTTGAAAATACGACACTGATGGATTCCAGTCCTACCAATCTGAAATGCTGTGAGAGAATGCTGGTGACACATATTCCTAGGATGTATTTTTGAGTATTTAAATGCCAGAGTTGGGTCTGACTTACATCTAAACTGTGGTGTGAGATATGTGATATCTGGACTCTGGATTTGGATCCCTTACTGTTTAGAAGGTTTGGGTTCTGAGGAATAGCATGTCAAGAATGCTGTTGTATCATCATATTTACTCAGGCATGGTCCTGTTTGCCTTATACCCAGACACAACCCTTACTGATCTCCACAGATTTCTCAGGATACGGAGTATGTGTGGGTGCTCACTGAAAACAGCTCATCAGAGAGCAAGCAGCCTATGTTTGGGACAGACAACCTGCAGTTCAGTTCAGTTCAGGTGATTTGGAACAGATTTGGAATGTGTGATACCAGGCTTTCATTCAAGGGAGAGCAGGTAGGAGAACTGAAATACTGTCTGTTTAATAGAGCAGTTTTCTTGGATAGTCAAGGTAAATCTGTTTTCTAAATAAATTAAATCTTTTCACCTGAATTCTCCTTGACTTCAGTTGAATTAAACCTTAGGTTTATATTGAGCATTATCATCTGAATTCTTCCTGCTCCAAAATATGCCTTTTTTGGTGGTTTTAATAATATTTCTGTCATTGCTCCTTCTCTTCCTTTTCCTCTCATTTGATTCTTCACTGATCCAAGATCTTATTTGCTGTGTGAGTTCAGTGACTACTGTCAGTGGCAACAGGATGTTTTGCATTCTCCTTATGTTGTACAGTGGTTGATTTGTTTATCCTAAAGGTGAGTGTTTTGACAAATAAGTATTAACTTTTTGTTCACTTCCCTGTTTATTCTGGCCATACAACAGGAAAAGTGTGAAAAGAATATAAGTGAAGTATGACTGCATGTTTATTCAGTTCAGGTGTTTCAACACTTTTATTAAAAAAAGATGTTGAATCTCTTCTTTCAGAAGAAGATGCAGGAATCATCTTTTATGTCTTAAGAGGGACAAAGGCAAGTATTTATCCAATTGGTGGTTAAATAATAGGTCTTGTGTGCTTACTGAACAGTTAATAAAGGTGTTGATGCACGGACTTCATAAATGCTTATGGGACAAAGAATCTTTTGTCCTAACACAGGAGTAGAAAGAAATGTTTGGCAAGCTTTGAAAGTAAAGCATAGCCAGGTCAGAATAATGTGGTTTCATATTACATTGTCAGAACTGGAAATGCTAGGTCTGAAAACACCATGTACTCAATCTTTTTTTCCATATACTTACTTATTTGTTTTGGTGCCACAGACAAAATACAATTTAACAGGTACTAAATTGTATTAAGTTAGTCTACAAATAAATAGCTTTATTCATCTTGCTTCACTGAACCACAGTCTAATATTTATGATATTTTAATACAGGTATCTTTGCTTCTTCTATCATTTGCTTCTGTAATTTTAATACATAAATAGAAAAATATTGTTCAGATGATGCCTCCAAGTTTTCATTGGTTTCATCAAAAGAATGAATTCATGCAAATGAAGTGTTTGCTTCACCTTTCAGCAGAGTGGCACTCAAAGGTGTTTCCGTTTATATTTGTGTTAGCTGTGTTGTTGGACATTAAAACAATACTACAGCTTCAAATCTGTTTGAAAAGACATTCCACATGTGGGGTTTTTTAATAATTAATATCTTATTTAATAATTATCAAAGCAGGAAATGTGTGATCATGTGCTCTGACCTGAAGTCTATCACAGATCATTGAATTTCACCTAGCAGTTGACTTAACAAGATTTTTCTCTGTATTTTTGCAATAGCTCTTTTTTCTTCTACATTTCAACTTTATCTAGGTATGTATCCTTTTCAAAGTACACATCTTTCATATTCTTGTATCTGTCTGCGACTTCATCTTTACCATAAATGTATCCAATTTTAGAGAAGGCAGAATGATGTTAATTTAAAAATAACAAATGATTAGCAGAGATGGCATATCAATAATAAAGCACTTTGGATGCTCTTTACACTCTTCTGTACTGTTTTATGTTCGAGGAGAACAAAAGCAGTTGTAATACCTCCTTTGCAAGCTCCTAGACTTTTGGGCCAACTGAGGATTTGGGGAAGCTGTGCAAAAGAGCAGCCCCAGTGACTGTTTTTAACTCTTGCAGCATCAGAGCATTGCAGCAGTCCAGAGTACTCTGGATGGCAGCAAACCCTGTTGTATTCTCTCACTTTCCCAGCACAGCCACCTTCTCTGTCTTCAGTATAGTCTCCAGTGTGTGGGAAGCTACAGTATAGAAGGATAGAAGGATAGCTTTACTTAATGCAATGTTCTCTGGGAAATCTCCTCATGACAGTGTTATTTTCTAATGGAGAAATCTACAGGATTTACGCTGTTGTCATGCAAGAGCTACTGTTTGCTTCAAAGTAGACTAGATGTCATGTTTTCCTGCAGTTCAAAAATTATTTCTGTTTGTATGGTGGTGGTAGCTTTGGGAGTTTTTTTGTGTCATGAGTGTTGAATCTGTTAAGACCATCTCTACTGACTCTTTACTATGTATTGTAACTTGTCCAGTATCTTCATTTTTCTAGTTTCATCCTAATTTTATGAACCTGAGAATTGTGAAAAACGTCTTTACATTCTACGTGGCTTCTGTATACCTGCGTTATTTCTAATAACCACTGGGTGTCGTGTGTCTCTTTGGATTACAGAATGTAGGGAAGGACAAACATGGTCCAATCAAGGACTGCCTGTGGACTTTTCTTTCAGGATGAATAGGCTTTTATCTAATTTAGATAAAATTACAATAACTTTAAAACAATGTTATTTGTTTAGGCACATGGTGTGATTCTTGGGATTGTCTTGTACAGTGCCAGGAGTTGGACTTTGATGATCCTCGAGGGTCGCTTCCAACTCAGAATATTCTGTGATTCTGTTATTTATGTACCAAGGGCAACAAATATGAGGTAGGAGTACTACGGACAACAGCCTAATTCTCTATGTGATTTACTCCCAATACCATTTGGCCAGTCAATGAATGACAGGTTTGGTGGAAAAACCCTAAGATGTCAGTAGGTAATTAAGGATATCCTGAAGCATAAATGCATAATGTAGAAGAATTAAAGATGCATTGGTGGTCTCAAATCTGCATTTTCCTAACTTTTAGGAACTATGTTTGACATGGCTGTATTTGAGAATATTAATTTGGTAAGGATTTTGGCCTGTTATTTTCATAATTTTTACGAGCAAATGAAAAGGCAAGAATTTGTAACTTAAT